GTGTGTGGGTGCATCCCTCGCGGTCCTGAGTTCCTTGCTCGTGCTCTCTCTCCTTCTGCTCCTGATTTGGACCTTGAGATTTCAGTCCGGTGCTCCAATGTGGGTCTCTGTTTCTGTCTCCTTTCATCGCCTGATGAAGGTTAATATTCAGGAGGATGCCTATATGTTTTTCTTTGGGTTCTCCTTCTTATTTAGCTTCTCTCTTTTGCAAATTTTTTATAAGTGTCAAGTATATTTGACCACTTTTTAAGATTTATTTTTATTTTAACTCTTGTGTGTGTGTGGTGTGTGTTCATTTGTGAGTCCATGCATATGAGTGTGGGGAGTCCCAGGCAGTGGTGAGCCACCTTTCTTTCCCGTCTGTTTGTTTTTTGAAACTGTGTTTCTCTGTAGCTTTGGAGCCTTTCCAGGAAAGAAAGAAAGAAAGAAAGAAAGAAAGAAAGAAAGAAAGAAAGAAAGAAAGAAAGAAAGAAAGAAAGAGAGAGAAAAGAAAAACAAAAACTTGGGGCTGGAGAAGTGGCTCCGTGGTTAAGAGTACCTGTTGCTACTGCCAAGGACCTGGCATCCACACAGTGGCTCACAGAACGGTGGCTCACAGGAACAGTGGCTCACAGGAACAGTGGCTCACAGGCATATGTAACTTCAGTTCCAGGGGATCCAATGCCCTCTTCTGACATTTGTGGCACCAAACATGAATGTGGTGCACAAATATTCAAGCAAAAACACTTTTACACATAAAAAATAAAATAAATAAATAAATCTAAAAACCATGAAATAGAAAAGAAAACAGTCAGCAAAATGGCTCTGTGGGTAGAGGCAGGAGCCTTGCAGCCTGAGATGGACACCGACACCCACACCATGGTGAAAGTGGAGAACTAATTTCACAGAGTTGTCCTCTGTCCTTCACACACACAGTGTGGCAAACCCATCTTTCCCCCAACCCCCCCCCTCTCTCTTCTCTCTCTCTCTCTCTCTCTCACACACACACACACACCACAAATAAAAAATACTGTTTTACTGTTTTAAAAATTAACAAAAAGGGGCTAGAAAGGTGGCACAGTGATTAAGAAAGCTTGCTGCTCTTCCAAAGGACCCGAGTTCAATTCCCAGCACCCACACTGGGTGGCTGACAATTACTTGTGACTCCAGCTTCAGGTGGAGTTTGCCTTTTGCCTCAGTGGGCATCTGTACTCACATGTTCACGTGCATAGTCCCCCCACCCCCATAGACCTCCAACATTTGTAGTTAAAAATAATAAATATTTGTTAAAATAATAAAGCTTACAAGAAACCCAACAAGCAAGGGAAAGATTTCCAATGCAAGTGAACAGAGCAATTGAGCAATGCAAACTTTAACATTCTCTTTAAGTATCGAAATAGATCCCAGCCCGTGAAAATATGTGTGTTTTTGAATTCAGAAACAGGAGTCTAGAGGCTTGCTGATTGTGGTGAATGTTTGTCATCCTAACACTCTAAGTTCCTCTTTGGAGACCAGCGCCCACTTTCTACTTTGCCAAGTGCAAGCCACCTCCCTCCCAGAGATGGATTGCCTTCAATCTCTGGTTACTTCATGGGTATAAATGAGTGTTGCCTTTGCCTCAGTTTGGACCAGTTCTGAAAGGCTGCTCTAGCTTTAGAGGTCCCTGAGGGCCTGCTGAGGCCTCTTTTGCAACTACATCACAGCCTAGCCTTGCTTTCAACTTAATCCTGCTTATCTCGCGGCTTACGTAGGTGTCTGAGCTCCTTAGTGCATTATCTACACACAAATGTAACTCAAGTCAACTTCCCGGAGTAGCCAGCCTACAGTGATGTTCGAGAAACTGGGACTACGTTTTCAGTTTATAGAAACTTGGAAAAAAACACATGAATCTATTATAAGAAGGAATGAATGACCAGAATCTACAAAAAACTTTAGGGTGCAGTGGTGCATACCCGTCAGCCCAGCACTGAACGAGGGTGGGGAGCTTTTGGGGGGCTGGGTGTGACCCCCACTCATGGGACATATGTAGAAATGAGCTAGTGAGAATAGGTGGGTATGAATTTCTATTTTACATCTTATTTATTAGATGAGTTTTTGTTTTGTTTTGTTTGAAACAGAGTTGGGGTTTACTAAAGATTTTTCTTTCAAGACAGGATTTCTCTGCATAGCCCCGGTTGCCAGGGAACTCGCTCTATAGACCAGGCAGGTATGGAACTTATAGAGATTCCCCTGCCTCTGTTTCCCGAGTGCTGCGATTAAAGGAGTACACCATCCATGCCTAAGATCCATTTTTAGTATTTTTAATTAGGTGTATGTGTCTATGTGTGGGTATCTGTATGCGTACAGGTATCCAGGGAGGTCAGAGGGTGTGCAATGCCTTGGATCTGAAGTAACAGGTGGATGGTCAACACGGGCTCTGGGAACTGAGCTTTGCTGGAGCAGAACATGCCCTTAACTACGGAGCCACCTTTCCAGACCCCTGAAGATATTTTAAAATAGATTTTAAGCATGAAGAGCGAGTGAGTGAAAAATACCCAGACAGAGCGACACACCCGAGAGCATGAGCACGGGCTTTAGAGACATTCTGGAGTTTTGAGGCAGGGCCTTATATAGCCCAGGCTGGCCTTGAACTCTGATGTTCCTGTTTCCACCTTCCAATTGCTGGGTTTACGGGTAGGCTCTATTACACTAAACTCAAAAAAAAATTTTTTTTTGAGACAGTTTCTTTGTGTAACAGCTCTGGCTGTCCTGGAACTAGCTCTTGTAGACCAAGCTGGCCTCAAACTCATAGATATTTACCTGTCACTGCCTCCTGAATTCTGGGATTAAAGGTGTGAGCTACTTACTACCACCTCGCAAAGCATTTAATTTTCTTAGTTGGGTGTGGAAACCTACACTTTTATTTGTTTTGTTTTTTTTTGGGGGGGGGTAGTTTTTTGAGACAGTGTTTGTAGCTTGGAGCATATCCTAGAATTTGCTCTGTAGACCAGGTTGGCCTCGAACTCAGAGATCCACCTGCCTCTGCCTCCCCAAATGCTGGGATTAAAGGCATGTGCCACCACTACCCAGCAATAATCATGGATCTATTTTTTAAAATTCTTTGGACCCGAGCTTCTAGAAGCTTTGGGGAAACATACTTTACTCTTCTATGTCTATGAAACTACCTACTCAATTCAAGCTCACCTCTGAACAGTCTCAAGTGGAATGATTTAAAATGTCTGCCAAAAAACAAAGAGGACTAGAGTAATGTTCCAGCAGTTAAAAGCACTGGCTGCTCTTGACAGGATGGAGGTTTAATTCCAGCACCCACATGGTGGCTCACGAACAGTAGTAACTCCAGTTCCAGGAGATCTGGTGTCTTCTTCTGGCCACTGTGG